GTCCGGCATAGCCGTGTGGGGGCGGAGACAGCGCTGTCACAGGAGGCTGATCAAGCGGTGAAGGGAGGTAACGTTTATAAAAAAAATACTAAAAAATGTGAAAAAATTAAATTAAAAAACATTTTCGGTATCTGTTTCGGCCTGACAATTTTCTTATTTCGGTTTAAAAATTTCCATTTCGGTGCACCTCTACTTATTCTAGTAGTTGGTATTTTATCACAAAAATGTTATGTTGTCACCAACTCAGATGGTTCTTTTTCTGCTCTCATCAATGAAATCAATAGAAATTCACAGTTAGCAAGCAAGAAGCTAGTGTTTAAGAAATGATAACTGTGTGTGATAATCTTTGTGATTTTGATTTTATCATATTGGTTGTTTAAAAAAAATGCAGACAGTGTACTAATGGTACAATTAGTGGTAAAACCTTGCAATTGTGTGTAAAATCCGCGCTTCTGGTGTTTCCTTTCAATGCAATGTATCAGCAGCAGTGAAAACAAGTGAATCCTCAAGTCACTCTTTACAATCTCAAGACAAAGTCACTGCACTAAAAAACTTACAACTTATACATAAATATAAAAAAACAATAAAGTGCCTAGTGATAGCCCCAAGATAATATGCAACCTACCCTATAGTTAAATTCAATACAATCTCAAAACTGGATGTGCCAGTGGAGGAATTATACAGCTCTGCCTATTAAGCCTTGAATGAGAAATGCGCAGAGGAGGCTAATATTGGCCATTTAGAAGGTGGATTGACAGGAAGTGGAACAACTTGAACCCACCAACAGTTTAAAAAACCCCCCAGCAAACTGAAAGGAGATATTGACTGCAAAGGAGGTTGCCATCAGCTGTCCTGGGAGAGCGGCTCGCTAAGGATTTGAATCTGAGTGCAGTTTGACCATTTAATAGTGGTCAAAGGAGTCTGGTGAGTGTATTGATTACACAGAAACACTAAGGATATCACACTAAGAAATACCTTTTTGGAATGTTGAACATTTGCACTTTATATATTGCTGACATATCCTCTTGAAGAGCCCTTTTTTCCGTTTGAGACCAAGTTGTAGAGTTGCACATGTGATCTGGATCACAACACATTGCACATCCAGTTTTGAGATTGTATTGAATTTAACTATATCGGAGGTTGCATATTATGTTGGGGCTATCACTAGGCACTTTATTGTTTTTGTATATTCATGTATAAGTTGTAAGTTTTTTTAGCGCAGTGACTTTGTCTTGAGAGTGGTAAAACCTTATTTCTTAAAGAAGGGGTCAAATAAATTACCTATTGAGCCTTTGAAGGTGTGGTCCGCAAACTGCAGCATTTCACTTGCCTTTAAACGGCCCATGGGGAAAAATTCCTCACAGTGGCACCAATAATGGAGCACTATTCCTCCAACTGACACCAGCGATGGGGAACTATTCCTCCTACTGACACCAAAGATGGGGCACTATACCTCCCACTGAAACCAATGATGGGGCACTATTCCTCCCACTGAAATCAATGATGTAGCACTAATCCTCCCACTGAAATAAATGATGGGGCACTATTCCTCCCACTGATACCAATGATGGGGCACTATTCATTCCACTAACATCGGAGATGGGGCACTATTCCTCCCACTGACACCAATGATGGGGCACTATTCCTCCCACGTACACCAAGGATGGGGCACTATTCCTCCCACGTGCACCAATGATGGGGCACTATTCCTCCCACGTGCACCAATGATGGGTGCACTATTCCTCCCACGTGCACCAATGATGGGGCACTATTCCTCCCACGTGCACCAATGATGGAGCACTCTTCCTCTCACTGACACCAATGACAGGGCACTATTCCTCCCACGGATGCCAATGATGGAGCACTCTTCCTCCCACTGACACCAATAACGGGGCACTATTACTCCCACTGACGCCAATGATGGGGCACTATTCCTCCCACTGACACCAATGATGGGGCACTATTCCTCCCACGTGCACTAATGATGGAGCACTCTTCCTCCCACAACGGGGCACTATTCCTCCCACGTGCACCAATGATGGAGCACTCTTCCTCCCACTGACACCAATCATGGAGCACTATTCCTATCACTGAAACCAATGATGGGGCACTATTCCTCCCACTGACACCAATGATGGGGCACTATTCCTCCCACTGACACCAATGATGGGGCACTATTCCTCCCACTGACACCAATGATGGGGCACTATTCCTCCCACTGACACCAATGATGGGGCACTATTCCTCCCACTGACACCAATGATGGGGCACTATTCCTCCCACTGACACCAATGATGGGGCACTATTCCTCCCACTGACACCAATGATGGGGCACTATTCCTCCCACTGACACCAATGATGGGGCACTATTCCTCCCACTGACACCAATGATGGGGCACTATTCCTCCCACTGACACCAATGATGGGGCACTATTCTTCCCACTGACACCAATGATGGGGCACTATTCTTCCCACTGACACCAATGATGGGGCACTATTCCTCCCACTGACACCAATGATGGGGCACTATTCCTCCCACTGACACCAATGATGGGGCACTATTCCTCCCACTGACACCAATGATGGGGCACTATTCCTCCCACTGACACCAATGATGGGGCACTATTCCTCCCACTGACACCAATGATGGGGCACTATTCCTCCCACTGACACCAATGATGGGGCACTATTCCTCCCACTGACACCAATGATGGGGCACTATTCCTCCCACTGACACCAATGATGGGGCACTATTCCTCCCACTGACACCAATGATGGGGCACTATTCCTCCCACTGACACCAATGATGGGGCACTATTCTTCCCACTGATACCAATGATGGGGCACTATTCTTCCCACTCATAGCTACAGGTAATTTTTTTTACTCCCACTGCTTACTAACCCTGAGGCATTGTTTAATCCTACTGATGCTGGGGCATTTTCTACTCCCCCCTCAAGTCTGAAGGATAGTGAAGAGTCCCTTTGCTCAGAAAGTTTGAGGACCCTGCTTTAAAATAAAGAATGATGTAAGGCGCAGCATCAAGAAAATACCAGCCAAACAAGAAAATAAAAGCAATAAAAGAGTTTGGTAAATTGAGGCAATGGTGGTAATGGTGAGAGGAAGGCAATGTTGATGTGTTTAATATGTAATCTGTCTATGCTTCTGAATAAAATGACCTTTAAATGCAAAAAGAAAAATGTAATATATTGCAGCTCATTAGTCCTTAGATGTGGTGGTTGCACCCCTTTTATTTTCACCTGGCAATCCTGAGAATAACACGCTTTCATTTCCAGGGTGGCTATGCTTACTCACTGCACCAATGGAGTGGGCCACAGTTGTAACTAGGTTGTTCTCCTCAATTGTACTACTAACCCCTCCTCCACTCCTTATCTCCATTAAGGACGTGTTATTTTGTAGGTCATAGAAGGTACTTGGAAAAACTGATGAGATTGTTTGCGACTTCAGTTCAGTGCACAGGATGTTACAAGGACACTGGAATTCTAGCAAGGTCAGCAGGTATTTTTGTACTTTCCTAAAATGGACTTAAGACTGAAAAAAATTAAGCAATACACATCTAAGAACTGGTAAGCTGCAATGTACTAGTTACATAGTATTTGAGGTTGAATAAAGACACAGGTCCATCAAGTTCAACCTATTGCGTGTATGTATGGGATTCTGCATGTGTATGGGTCCTTGTGTGATCTTGTTTTACGGGTACCTGTACCCCTGTATGTTGCGGTCTCTGAGGAAATTGTCCAAATGCTTTTTTGAATGTTTCAACACTCTCAGCTGATACCACTACTTGTGGCAGTGAGTTCCAGACCCTAACCGCTCTGACTGAGAAGAAGCCCCCTACGCCCCTTGTGGTTAAATCTTTTCTCCACCAATTTTAGGTGGTGGCCTCTAGTCTTTGTTATGGAGTTTACTGTAAAAAGCTTATTGCTGATGTTGCTATCACCATTGAACATCTTGTACATCAAAATCATGTCCCCTCTTAATCTCCTCACCACCAGCGTGAACATGTTTAAATTTAGTAACCTGGTCTCACAGCTTTGGTCCTCCAGCCCCTTAATTAGTTTGGTTGCCCTTCTCAGGACTCTCTCCAGCTCAAGAACATCCTTTCTGTGGATTGGTGACCACAACAGGACCGCATACTCCAGAGGAGGCCAAACCAGTGATCTATAAAGTGGCAAAATTATAGATTTGTCTCTAACAGTACATTCCCATCTTAATACAAGACAGTACTCTGCTCGCTTTGTTTACAGCAGCCTGGCATTGCAAGCTAGTATTCAATCTGTGGTCTACAATGGCCCCCAGATCCAATCTGTGGTCTACAATGACCCCCAGATCCTTTTCCATTTCTGACTCCCCTAGTGGAGTTCCCATTAATGTGTATTCCGCTTGCCTATTTTTAACCCCAAAGTGCATTACTTTACATTTATCAACATAAAACCTCATCTGCCATGTGGTTGCCCACTCCCCTATTTTATCCAGGTCCTCCTGTAATGTTATAGTGTCTAAGTCTGTGTCTATGACCCTCCCAATTTTAGTGTCATCAGCAAACACGGCAACATGGCTATTCACGCCTTCCCTGATGGCATTAATAAACAGGTTGAATAATATGGGGCCCAGCACAGAACTCAAAACTATGTTTTTGTTTTGGGTGAACACTTTAAATATAGAAAAATTACACTTGATAAAGCCAGATATTTTTTTTTTTCGTACAATATAAACATCCTAGCAAAAGACAAAAAAATATACAGAAGAGTCATCTGGTAAGCATTCCACAAATCCACCAAAACTTTCAGAAAACATTATCTACACAGTTATCCCCAAAGGAAGCACAATCAATGGATAAAACACTTCAATTATAAAAGTAAAGAGGTTTTATTGTCAAGTATGGTCATTTATCACTATCCCTACAGCAAGTCAGTAAAGGGCTCTTGGATCAGACTGTCTCAACCCTACAAACCATAGAAACAGCAGTAACATTTTTTGAAAAAAAAATTCACATTTATTTACTGTCAAACAGGTGTAATCTTTACATTGAATATTAGTGATGGGCTTTTATTAACAGCTGAGGTTTAAAAAAAAAAAAAAGAAATTTTCACCGAAAATGTACACATTGCTTTAATTATAAAATAAATTAATGGCTAAACATAGGCAGAAAAGGTCTCGAAAGTAATAATCTGGACTGTTATTTAAAAAATATATATATATTTATATGTAGGTCAGGCACCACTTGTTTCAGAATTCAGGGTTAGTGCCAATGATCCCCGTTAAACAAACTGCCAGATTTCACCAAACGTGTGCAATTAATGACAATATTTGCTCCTGAATATATCAGAATTTTTTTTTCCTCATTAAAAATTATTTGGCATCAAATAAACAAAACAAAACTTAAAAAAGGGACTGGGATCCAACTTTCCGTTAAAAATAATATTTGAATAATAGATATGATACGTCTCATTTATTACCACAAAGAACAAGCGTGTATGAAAAGAAAAAAAAAAAAAGCTTTGTGCAGTCAAGATTTTTCACAATATTTTCTGCCAATCTTTCAAAATTATTTAAATCAACAGTTATAGTTCAAGTTGGACACAAATGTATTTCACCCTAGCAATAGAACAAAATATAATTTATTTTGCCATTTTCATGATAACAGGTCATTGTACAGTTGAGGAAACATATGAAATAAGGCCAGTGGCTTGATTGCTAGTGGTTAGACATGTTTGTTTAATCTTTGCCTTAATGGATAGAATCTGCAGTGACCTGCAAAGCAGGGAAAGAAAATACAAATAAAATTAAAAATGACCCCAAAAAAATAAAATAAAATCCTGCAGACTATTCCGAAACAGCATGGTACAGTAAATCTATCCCACAGGAGTTTTGAGCCTACATCTTGTATATAATACAATGCAGGCATCACAAATTGGCAGCCGTATTTACAAACTAGGTTCCAGAGCTGCTGAACATAAATGGCCGATTTGCTACTTTTATCTCCCCCAATGTCCGGTCAGAAGCAGCAGCAGATATTTTAAATACCGTGTTGGTACCAGTTTGCTTTGTAACAAATATTTTAAGTATACTCTGTGTATATACAAAGTTTTTTTTGTTTTTGTTTTTTTTCCCCCCCATTTTCGATTTATAAAAAAAATTCACAGAACTGAAAAAGTCCATAGCTCTCCTACATAATGGAGAGCAGCGTGAGTCTTACTAGGCTGCCGATCACAAATAAGGTGGCCTCAGTTGAACAAAATCGAGTCTTTTAATACCTGCATGAGCCATTTGTACTCCTAAAAATGTATATTAAAGACTTGTGACTAGTTGCATTTGTCCTTCCCTGACATCTCCTTCGGGGACGCAACCTTCCTTGTTTATGGGTATGATGTAGCCATCGCTATTGCCCCTGCTTATCTGGTAGTACATCTGTAGATGGTGTCCAGCTCCGAGATTTGGCATGCTTTTATAATAAACGTCATCGTTCTCACTCTTCCTTGAGGGCGATAAATCCTCTTCAATATCTGGGCTACTCTCTGGGTATGGAGAGTCCCGTAGGTTGGGCATACTAGTGTAGAGGGAGTCTCTGTTTGGGGATTGGAGATTGTCTTCAGCCTCAGCGGTCAACTGGGATACATAACTTTCCGTTCCTTCGGTCTTCACTTTCTTCTGTGGGTGGTACAGAAGAGAGTGAGTCCGCTGTGGAATTAGTGGTGCTTCCAACTCTTTGTGGTGGAGTTCCAGCCCCGGGTTGTCGCCGTGCATTAAGGAGGAAGCATCTGCAACAATTGCGTCATCTTCGCTACTGCTTCCCCCAATGACAGTTTTGATGGGTATGGAACGCTCCAGGTTGTGGTTCTTGCTGCTACACCGCAGGTTGTTGTGCACTAGTTCTGAAATTATCATTTTCTCAAATGCCGTATCGTTCAGACTTAGTCCACAGTCTACAACTTGTACTCCATCACTGTAGTCCCCATTCCGTAGAGAGTAGCTGTTGTTAAAGTTACCATTTAGCGGTAGAGTATCCATGGCACTTGAATCCCTGGCATTGTTCAGTGAATGTCCTGAAAAAGAGAAGATCGGAACCAGTTTAGAGGACATTTTGTTAACCTGGATTATTTTTATTTTTTTAAAATATATTAAAAATATTAATGCAGTCTAGGACAAAAGCATTCAATATCACAGTCGCTATGTAACAATTTAGAAATTTTATGTAACAATGTAGAAATTCTATGTAACAATTTAGAAGGTGCTGAAGCAATTTAGTAAAAACAGCAGCAAATATGTAAAGGAACCTGTAAAAAATTTAAAATGCTTCGTTCTCTGACATTCCCATCTGTAATTAATTGCACACCTCACAGGGGGAATATTTTGGGAACCATACCAAAAACACAGATCAGAGGACATTCAAGTTTTATCCGTGTTCACTCCATGCTCTTGCATATCTAATGCAAAAACTTTGGATGATCATATTGGTTTTCAGTAAGTGATTTGTCCTAAACGACACTAGTTAAAAAAAAAGAAATACATAAAAATAAAAATTGAATATGTATACATTAAATTATATGCAGATGTAGAACCAAAAATCAACAAACTGGCAAGCAACTAGTTCAACAATGTCTCGAACGTTTCCTTTTTTTAAAATTTATTTTCTGGGGCGTGGAAACAAACTAAAAAAAGGACAGAATGGAAAATGGACAAATACAAAGACGTTATGGAGAACAGAGACAGCCACCTTTCACACTAGAGGCAAAATGTCCCACAAGCATCATCCACAACATGATAGAGCAAGGTGGAATGACTCACTGTGTACCACTCACATTATGGCTGTCTGCTCAGTCTATCTGGGCTAAGTGTAGCTGATATATAAAAGAAAGTAAAATGATTTATTGCACAAGATGGATTACTAGGATTCTCAGCAACTTATTCAGAGCAAGGGTTCAGCAAATGAGATTACTAGCAATAACAGCCTTTGTTTCTGGTTAATGTAATATAGATTGCTCATATTCTATGCGCCAGCAGCAGCCCCAGGCTTTTAAAGAGTCAAGACTTTGCCAGCAGCCCTGCAGTCTGCATCGGTCACAGTGATAGTGCGGAATGAACCCACATGGGGTAATTAGCGAGTTAAAGCCCAGGGTGAGTATCGGGCACCGAGGTCAAAATGCAGAAATGCCAGGAATTTCTGTAAGCAAGGTTCACAGAAATTAACCAAATAATTGGAAACATGCTAATGTAGACAAAAAATGATGTATGATACACTTATTTTTAATAAATGCAAGAAAACAAAATGAATACCATTTGATTAACAGACATATGAGAAAAAAAAGGTGAATAAAAAAATATTTAGATATTTATTTTTACAAACAGTCTGTACAATATGACGTTACTGCATTGTATGCAAGACTTGGAGGAAAATGGGACAATGGGCGGTTACGGCTGCCATTGGCGAACATGCTTAAGGCTGCAGCCTAGTAAGAGCCAATAAATCGACAATACAAATTGGTTCCTGTGAAAAAGACAGTTGCAACATTTGTAAATGTGCATGCAAAGGTCTAATAATCCAAGAAGTTATGAAATAAAATGATGAAGTAAATCAACTATTACTTCAGGCCATTTAAAGAGGCTAATAAAAGCCTGCAATCCTAAAACATATGAAGGCAAAAAATGTATCCAATTTAAAATGAAACTAAAAAGATTACTTGGGTATTTTTTAAAATTTTTATTTACATCAAAACACATTAATTACGGTATATCTATAATATTAGTAGTGTAGTTAGGAAATATATTATAGTTTAATATCGTAGTAGTGTATAATCCATTATTGGCAAATGTTTGCTGTTTTTTTTTGACTTTTTTTTTATCCATTCGGTAAATGAGGTATCTATGACATGAGATTTATTAGAGAATACTGCAACATAGAAAAAAAACAAACTGATATATAAAATGAATTATCACTCTGCGCCGTGCAGATTTCAAGGTGTGCAACATCAATGACTGAAATTCATGTGTGTTGCTAAACAGGCTTTTGAGGTGGATAAACATTTGACATCAGACTATAATTACTAATGAACATGTGCACAATTTTGTTTTATTCAAGATGTCTATGGGAATGTAGAAATGATAAGCAAATAAAACATTTCTGCTTGACAGCACTCTTTTAAAAACAGCAAATTATTTCAGCATTGCAAATATATTACCAACTGAGATTGCAGTATATCCATTGCTGTTATCCAAATGTAGACAAAAAAGTCCAGATTCAATTTGAAATTAATATTATTATGTCTTTGAATACAGATTGTGAACCACTTGCCCGCTGAGTTATTTGATGATTGATAGTTATGTTTTAAATGTGGCTGTTTAAAAACCATGCTGAAAAAATTTACATTTGATAGGCAAAGTTAAGTTTTACTCCCATACTTGTCTCTCTGTAGTTCGCTAGAGGAAAGCATAAGTAAAGAAAAAAAACAAAAACAAGAGAACAGAAAGGACAGACCAACGTTAAAATAGAATTAAGTGTTATGAAATTTTACAGTAGCAGAACATTGAATAAAGAATATCTCAATGTCGTCTATACTCAAGCAACAAACACTTAACAACAACACAACTAAGAACGCACAAATTTAGTTTTAGATAAAAAATAAATAAAAAAATCTGTCTAATGATACAATAGACAATATGGTGTATTAACCAGCTTAAAGCTGCACTATACTATAATTCATGCCGGTATGCTGTCGTTTTTTTTTGGTCACTTGCTAGCCAATAGCCTAACCCTGATCCGCCAAGCAATCACCGCGCTTAGTATTATAGAGAGTTGTACCTCTACGGGATAAATATCTTGAAGATGGACTCTTGGACCTTGTGATGTCAGTCCTGAAATAGTATATTAAGATTTATCCCACCTGTGTTGAAAACATGGATAACGATAGGTAAATACTAGTAACAACGCTATATTATAGTGCAGTTTTAAGAGGCCGGCATAGGGAGTGCTGCATGTCTGTTAATATGTAGGACAGGGAAAAAAAAAAAAGAATTGCATGTCCACAGGTTTTATGTTTAATAATGTGGTGAGTGACAGAGAACAAATGAAGTAAGTAGAAGCACACCTGGTGGGTTAAACACAGGAGCAGTAGGGGTATTACATACAACAGTTTCGGCGAGCAGTGTGTTATAAGGGTTGTTAGTGCCATGGGGTCGAAGAAGAGGGTTTGTTAGTAGGTAATTGCCAGTCATTCCTAAGATAAAGAAAACAAAAATAAATTAATCAGTTCTTGTGGTACTGGCTCACCAACCTTAATATCCCCTCTTCCCCCTAAAAAGAAAACGTCTTTGGTAGGTTCGTGATTCTGAGTAGCCCTTTACTAATCACATGAAATGCAGAAGGAAATTCCAATTAGGGAATATATTTTGAACAGCCAAATTCTGGGAAAAAGTAAAAGGAATGTGGCAAAGTTTTATTTTTTTTTAATTCGCAGGTGCTTTTTAAAATCTCCTGAAGTAATCATCATCCAAGAGTGACATTTAATAATTTACACAACATTACTGTCAGACAAGAATGGTAATTAAAAGCATCGAAAATGACGTAATGTTTCAAAATGCATCTGCTTAAAAATCCTTAAACTTTTTTTTGCTTGTGATGAGGGAATTTAATGCTTAGTGAATATTTTAAACAGTGGGACAATCCCTAATGGAAACATCTGTGTTAATAAAAAGAATGACAAAAAAATTACAAAGGAGGGAAAAGAAAGAAAAACAAACGGGACTACAGCAAGACACATCCTGCCGTTGAAAAACAAAACAAAAGCTGTGCATAGCTTACGCAAAAGAAGGCATGCAACAGAAGAGAGACAGTATTTCAAGCATACATTTAAACAGCAAGAGACCAAAAAAAAGAACCAAAACCGCAGCAACATATTGTATAAAAGCAATAAATTCAATCACATTTCCTCCATCACAACACATTTATTCAGCTGTGATTAACAATAGTAAAGTATATGTTACAACAACAAACAAAAAATTTATCTAAGTCTATAAAAACAGATAATTCAAGAAGTTGGTGGAAAAACAAAAATACCATTTCACTTTTTAAAAGGTTGATCATCTTTAGTAATTGTTGCAACGCATTCCAGAGGCATTAAGACACTGAATGCTCAAGTTTAAGCAACATGACTTACTGGTTAAACTTATTTTTTTGTACTAAGTAATGAAGCACCAAAAGTAAAGGCCAATTATAACAAAAAGCTAAGCATATATAGTTAAATTAGGAAACAAAATAGTTACAGGTAAAATGAATAACATTTAAGAGCAAAGAAAAATATGTACATGTCCTGTCTCCACCGGTCTGGTATGGCATATTAAACAGCTGCACTGAGAAAAATTAAATCTTATAATTATTACGTTTTATGTAGAATCTACAGCCCATGTATCCAATAAATGTCCTGCCTGGCTTTTGCTAGCCACTTAGCAAGGTTAATTTAGCAAAGAACATTCAGCCCTGTTTTATATAAAAAAATATTTATATGCCACTGTATGACCACTATGGTACAGATATTTAACACATGCTTTAAAGAAAAAAAAGAAGACGACTGGTGGGTAATTACCTTGATTAAGAGTGGACGTACTGTTTATGTCACCTGAGATAAAAGATGATTCTGATTGCTTTCTCACGGTGTCATTCCACATTCTTCTGATTCGACTCTGTGAGCAGGAAAAAAAAAAAGAAAAAATTAGATAAATTTATTTGAATTTCTGGCCAGCATGAATGGCAGTTTTGCCATACTGTGCAATTAGCCGAAAGTATACATCATATTCCAATTACAGTAGCTGCAGTTAAAATCTTGGGCCGTGCTAATTGATTAGTGTTGAATATGTTTAAGAGGTGGGAAGAAAAAAAAAATCTGAAACCTGCAGGAAATATTTTAAGTCGTATCAATTCGGTGAAAAAAAACGACAGCAAAACATGCATTTGCCATCTAGATCACTGTAATGAGAAGACAATTAGTGTATCTCATCTGTGAGTCTCTAAAGGGAAGCTATAAATAAGGTTAATTAAAAATGCTGTCGACTTCTTTGTCACCTGGGTGCCGGAAGAGTATCGAGCGTTGGTTCTTGTCGTCGATGCTTTAACCACGCTGTGGGGGCTTTCGGTCGGAAGACCTCCGCAGCAGTAGGTGTGCCTGAAACATTTGCTGTACTCCTTGCGCACCTGTAAAACGAGAAGGCTTTTCTTAAAAACAAGGTAGGAGGGGACAAATTAAAAAAAAACAGGTCTTTTAATCTAGCACCGTTAAATGGGTTTGTTTACCAGACCCATTGATTTACTGTAGAAGAGAGTCAACAAAAATAGCAGCTGACATTCTTATAGAACTTAATTAGCATCTGTCTTGAACAAGCGGCTCTCCAGGGTCATCATGAAACATAAAAGTTTCTTTCATTAACTAAACTTTCAACTCGACTGCAATGCAAAAGGTTCCCACAAATGAGATTTTAAGCTGAAATGACCACAAAAAGACGGAAATCGTATGCGGTAACGTTAAGTGTGATTGTAAAAATCCGACCAAGTTACTAAGACAACCGAAACATAAAAAAAAAAAATAGAAACAATTTAATTTAAGCGTGGAAATTAAAGCAAAGTTAGAAGGCAAGCCTAGGAATTAAACTGAATTTAGTTTGCAACATCAAAATGTCAAAACACATGCTACAGCAAAACAATGCTTGTGGTTCTCCTCTGTTAAAAGCTTCTGAAAGAGAAGCCTTTGAAAAGGCCACAGAAACCAAAAGACTTGTGATGTTTATTGACTGGTATGGGAAAAATGCTTTTTGTTAAGACAATGTTTATACTTAAGGGCACCGTAAACCTAAAGTATAGCGGAGGGCAGACAATAGACTTTCAAATATTCAAGTAGAACATACCCCTGCTGGTACTGAGGAGCAATTCATTCTCAAAAGGCTACAAGGGATGAAGAAAACCCGGCCCTTTTTTCTGTTCATCTGCTCTGTATTTACATTACAGATAAGGCAGCTGGAAGGCTGTTGAGTCACTGCTGGGAAGGGAGAGCTGAGCTGCTCTTTACAGGTACAGAGGCCAGTGGGTGCTTGTTTTGAAGCTCATTAACTAAACTAATATGCAAATATCTGCATGTCCATAGCCTGGCCACAGTTCTACTATTAAAAAAAAACACAATGGCTTAAAAATACTCCAATATTGGCAATGAAAGCACTTATCTTGGTTCATCTTGCTGCTCAGATGCAAATATACAATTGGTGCACCACAGTTAGAGTTGGCATCAGTACCCCCCCTACCCCCCCAGCACTACACATAACCCTCATCCACCTCCTCTGTTTTACTGGGACTGGAAATTGAAATTTTTAATGTTCTACCATCTGCAAATTAAATCTGCCATGCTGCTCCTCCATTCAGATAATGGAACCCTGTGCAGGCACCATTACATTTAAAATAATTCACCAGTTTATGCCCAGTAGTTTTACCACCTATGTTTTTGGAGCAGCACCCCCTCATCATATGAAGTGGCCAAACAGTGCCCCCCCTTTTACCCAGATATAGATCCCAACTATATAACCATATCACCACGGACCTTGCGACTAGCTGGGTTGTCCTACAGTATCTGTGTTATGTTGCAAGATATCGCATAGTCTTTCCTAATGCTCCCACGATATATTAAGCCTACGAAAGAGAAGCTCAGTACATCATATTTTCCAAGCAAAATTTAGGGTGCAGAGATGAGGAAGCAGTGCGATAAGGATCCTAGGGGATAAAACATGACCAGGTAGGTTTCGTTCCTATGTTCTATTCTTGAATTGAAGTGCTCCAACAGCCACAATATGATGCTTTTGCATGTTCAGGACACACTGACAATGTCAGACACACTTGCTTTGCAGTTACTCTTGGTTCAACCACAGCAGAAAAAGAATCCTGGCATTGCTCATAAGCAATGCGGGAATAGGGAACCCTGTGTATTATTTCACTGAGGGGACCAAAGCTGTGAACTAAATTTTTAAAGAACACCTTTGGTTTATTAAAGCAGGAGTTTTTTTTTAAATTAGGAGATTAAGTTACTAAATACAGGCACTTCTACTTTCTTCCTTAGCAATGTTGCTTTCACACTTCATGGCTATGCCCTTTGACCCATAACACTACATATTTACTGAAAGCAGCTAACACTGTGGCAGCAGCCAAACACACATGAGCAAAACATTCAGCCCAATTCAAAAAAGCAGAAATTCAGGCCGTTTAAAGAAATCATAAATTATACAACTCGTGCAAGAACCTGAATCTGCAACTAGGAACCAGAAATATTCTGTTTAAGTTCAGAGAATCCCAGGAGCCAGGTAGCCAATGCTCCTTAAGAAAATACAGCTGGCACCCAACTTTTGAGGTTCTCTCTAGTTGTCAATGGAGCTGGCTCCAGAATTCTATATTAATTTGTCCGCCCCTGGTCTAAACTGTGAACATGAGGAGAGAACAGTGTGGGCAGGGTAGAGACTTCTCAAAGTGCTTGATCTTCCACTCAGCAGGCTGGGAAGTGGTCTGCACCAAGCTATGTTGCTTAACTAAAGTGGGGATCTAGGCCTGGGTTATGCTGTCATGAATAAAAGCTGGCCCTTGTGTGCATCACAGCAGTGTCAAACGGTAGTCGTCAACCCCTGCAACTGAACATTTACTGGACAGCTTGGCCTGGTAAAGGAAGCTGGAAAATAAAGGATCTGCTTGCAGGATCAACAGGTAATGCAACTGTTAAATGAAATACATTAAAGGTTTAAGCAAATGTTAAAAGGAGAACTATGGGGTTAAGGTTTTTCCCCATAGTTCTCCTTAGGGTAATGGGAGGACACAAACTAGCGTCCTCCCGTCACCCTAGGCTCAGTATACCGCGAGCTGTAGCTCGCGGTATACTGAGACGACGCAGTGTACCGCAAGCTGCTGCTCGCTGTATACTAAGATGCCGCAGCTGAAGCGGATCCCGACAATTATGTCTGGATCCGCCCAGCTGCGTGACTGACAGCTTGCTCTGCCTATCTAGAGGCAGAGCCAGCTGCCCCCGCCCCCTCTCCCGTCCGTTCCGCCAGTCAGCGCTGGTGGATCGGAGCGGGGGGAATCCAGCCCCTCCCCTGTCACGACAGAGAGCCGTGACAGGATCGAGAGGTGAGCGAACGCCGGTATGTGTTCGCTCACCTCCCGATCTACTGAGCCGACCTCTGACAGTTTCATTGTCACAGGTCGGCTAGAACTATGAGGTGAGTGAAAAGCACTCGCCTCATAGTTCTCCTTTAAAGGGAGACTCATATTTGTCATTTTTAGGTTTACCCATATTACAACTTTAAATGTACTCCCCGAATACATAGGTTGCATTGCATGCTGGCTCTTTGAGCACTCTGAATATGTAAACCACCATAGCCATTTCTCAAGTCACTGTAGCCTTTTACCAATCCATAATTGAATGTGGGATATTCCAGACGTTATTATTAAAAAGAAAAGCTTTCTCTCTTACAGAATTTGAGGCAGAAACATAATGGATATTAACTGCTTCAAAAACATCACAGAACTAGGACAATACCAATAAAAAAAGGTATTTTGTCCAAATAACCCCCATCGCCGGGACCAGCTCCCAACATACCTATATTGCTATAAATGTACATTATCTGTCTGTAGTGCACATCCCTCTGTCATTACCGGTAAATTACAGCTTACTCGGAGCGGATAGAGATTCAACGCTATCATCTTGTCAAGTCAGAAACATAATAGTTTTCACTTTCACAATTCTATTTCACTGTTCAATTTGGTGACGGGCTTGTAATAATGGAATAAAAAAAAATAAAAAAATAGGGAAACCAGATAAAATATGCAGACAAGGACAGGGTGATATGTGAAACTTTTATACTGCAAAAGACATCTTCTGCTGGATATGAGAAAATCTCCGGAAAACCTAGACTGTTAACATCGGTTGCCAGAGTAACATTAAGACCTAAGAATACTGAGTTCCAAAGAGGTCATGATTTATGTATGTGATCTATTTTCAAGGTATATACAGCAATGTAACTATGGGATTTGCAGCAGTTGCTATCACAATAGTGAGAAAGGGAGGAGGTGATCCCCTTCAACCTTTCTCAGACCCTCTACACCCTTCAAAGTAAACGTGCCGGAAACCTGAGTGATTTATACTCACATTGTGATTAAAAAAATTACCAGCAGCAAAAGGTTACCATCAGTGGAAACCACATGTCCAAATAATTTGTAGATCCGGAAATATACAGCTATATAGATATTTGGCTAAAGCTGTATGCAAATCTTAACCTTCCTTGTAAAACCTCAAGGTTGGCTGAGCATTTGAATGGCTATAGACCATGGATGTTCTGCGATATTTGTGAGCGACTATGGGAAAATGAGTTAAATCCATTGAAGGGCTTAAACTGTGATTTGATACAAAAATTAGTTTAGCGGTCCTTTACATAAATACTAATAGGTTTTCTCTGGATTTGATTATGGGAAGTGGGGGATGCATGGAAAGTAAAAAGTGAGGACAGTCCCATGGCTTGGGTAAAGGAAGTTAACAACTGGCCACGTGAGAAGGCAAGACAGAGCTGACCATGTGCAGGAAGAGGGAAGGCACCTCTGCCATATGTGTGCTCTAAACCAGTGGTTCTCAACCTGTGTAACCTCAGGACCCACATTTGTCCTTGGTCATGAAGTCGCGACCCAAGTCGTAAATGGCTTTCTATCCATTAATACAAGCCTGCCGTGATTGCGCCGCGACCCGTGATGCTGCCGTGATGGCGACCCGTGATGCTGCCGTGATGGCGCCGCACTGCAGAAGGGCTCGCGACCCACTTTTGGGTCGCGACCCATGAGTTGAGAACCACTGCTCTAAACAAGAGGGCTCCATTGAATCATTCATCATCTGAAGCCCCTGGGTAAAGGTAGTTTGGTTTGACTGCTTGTGTATGGATAACGATCTCAGTTTATGCTGTACAAATTTTACCATGGTTTGCATCTCATCTTATTAAATCAGGAAGATTCTATTTTACACCTTTTGTTTTACATGTTTGTTCTCAAATACTTTATTTACAGTCCTATCACAACCTACTCCATTCTACTGGTTTATGAGGCTGCCCTATAGAAGAAAGGGCCAGGACCAAAAAGGGAGGCATTGGAAGTCACTCAAATATGAATGCTCCACAATACAGTTTGCACAGGAAATACAATAAATGACCAAATTGTGGTCCAAACAACTCTAGTATGTAACTATGTTAAAAGGAAATATGATTAACAGATGTAGAAATGTTTTTCTTTAATTAATAACAAATGGATCATTTACATAGTTTCATTCACTCACTGAAACGGTTTATGTTTATCGAAGTCACATACAAAGGTCTGTTTCCATATGTACAGATCAGCCACTGCAGACTTACTTTTTTCTGAAGGGCACAGTGGAATATGAAGATAAACATTCCTTGGAAGGCGTTGAACACTGTGAAGAGGTACGTCATTACAACAGTCTCCTCGTTGATGTACAACAGACCAAAAGACCACGTCAGTCCGAGCAGACACAGGAGAGCAAAAGCCCCAAGCACCCAGGACCTGAAAACAGACAGGACAACATCAACGGTCATGAACGTTAAGCTTAAAGTCAGACAATGAACAGAGATGACTGTGATTATGATTTCCATTCAGGCTTTGGCATTGTGCGAGTCTGTTCATAAAGTCAATTAAACACAAAAGCAGGCTACTTGATTTCTCAATGACGTGAGCTTCATCCTTGAAAGACTATACTTCTCCAAGCTGATGTTGGATCAAACATTAAAATATGTATCAATATACATGACTAAACTGAGTTTGCTGTCATTGTTAGCAAGTTCACAGCATACAAAAGAGTCTCCAGAGACAGTTTTGATCAATGCCAAATAACTTGCACATATGGAATAAACATTTTATGGTAAATCCATTGTTTTTATATAGCAAATGGCAGTAAGGAGAAACGTAAAGTATAAGTAACCGTATCATTAAACATTGATTTACAATAAAAAAAAATGCTACTTATAACATTCCAAGGTATATTTTATTTTTTACATCCATACATTACATACAAATATTCCTCAGGCAACCTCGGCTCTAAATTGACTAAAATAACTAGCAGCTAATAGCAATATTTCTTTCATTTTAAAACCTGTGCTGGAAAGACAATGACATTGGTTGCTTGAAAACACAATCCAACTGGCTGCTGTAAGAAGCCGTAAATGCAAAGTTGTCTTTATAGAAGGCATATGTTTTAACTGAAATGTATAGTACTTGGTATTTATTTTCTTTATAAATGTCCAGGACTGCAAAAATTAAGTCTAGTATAGCTACAAATTAATATTTCATATCTACGTCTTCAAGGAAAAATACAGCAAGTCTAGTTGCCCTGACTTAATTTTTTACAGATATTTCATATCTAGATTTACACACAGCATTTGGCCCTCCAGGCTTCTTTTTAACATGTTTACCAGGCTAGCCTTTGGCCTCTTTGTTTAAAGAAAAAAAAATACAGTACTCAATATCTCAAGCTTTTAGATAAAACTAAAACCATCGACTTATAATGGACACATCAAATTCCAATTGAACCCACACCATTACATTTTCTACAAAGTCAGTGAGCTTTAGATTCCAACTTATTTGCAAATGAGTGATATGAGAGAACTGATCACGCTAGACCATCATAACCCTCCAAAAATACCAATCATCACAACACTAGATATAGCGTATAGAAATGGAACAGAGTTGCATTAAAATGGTTTCAATTCCAACACCCTTAATGTTTTTTCACAGATCGTACACGAATGTTATTAAGCAGCTTTTTTTTGCTATAAATCAAGTGCAATGTTTTAGGTCAGCATAAGAATATATTTTTTTTCTGGTTCCTGACATAAAAAAACAACAAATGGTCAAAAGGGAATTCCTGGATATTCACAGCTCAACTCAACAAAGCTAAAATCAAATTTACTTTTCAATTCATGATGTCTCATCACAAAAAGCTGAAATGAATATTAAAAAATATACCGCTTAAGCAATGAGGCACAACCTGACAACACAAATGAGAAGGAAAAGAATAATAAAAAAAAAGGACCAAGATGAATGGGAAGTGAGAAATAAAACCAGCAAGGAGGGCGTAAAATTGCCATTTGTGACCCAACTAAAAAAATGAGCAGAGGAAAATCGAATGGAGGACAAGGAAGATTTGAGTTAGGGCATTCCACATCTAGCTAATGGTCTCTTACTTGATAAAAGGCTTATTATCTTCATATCTAGAGAGCATTACAAGCAGAGGAGAGAAATCAGATTGTTAGAGACAGAAGTGGAGCAGAAAGAATGGAGCATTTTTTTTCTTTATACACAAGGCAGAATTAGGGAGGAAGAAAGTAAAAATATAAAAGGCACTGTTCAAATGATAAATTTATTAGGGGAGGTTTGAAAAAAAAAAAAAAAAAGGTTTGTGTCGATTCATTTAAAAACAAAGCCAAATAAAAAGTCATGCTACAACTATTAATGTAAGGATTCACCTTACCCAGGTAAGTCCGTATTATAGTAGCCGTCGCATACACGGTAATTACTGGAGTGGATGAGACAGAGGTAAGAAAAAAAGGGAAAGATAAAGAGAGATGCTAAACCAAAAAGCTCTCCTAACATGCAACGTGCACTGAGGAGCACATTAGTCAAAGAACTGTGCTAACCGCTAAGGCCACATTCCACTGTACTACTAGAGGCTATGACTTCCCACAGAGTTTTCTCTCCAGCAGACATTGAGTAGGATACTAGTGACATTTATGAGAGCCGCTATCACCACCTGTCTGACACTAAATGCTAAACTACCCTCTTTTTCCAGTTGCTATTACCTTCACGTTGAGTGCTGTATACCCTCAGAGGCAGACCAGCCACAAGGCAACCTAGACAGCAACCTAAAGCCTCATGTCCGGGGGGAGCAGATTCAATCTTTAGGCTCTTGCAGTAAACCAGAGGGATAACGCAATAGGTAAAAGCTGTGTACCCAACTGTCATTTAACAAGGGAGGATGTTCTTGTAGGCGGTTGGTGTCTCTTGGGGTGGGCCAGGTCACTACAGAAAGTGCACATGGGGTGTCTTCAATGTGCCTATTGCAATGAACACCAGTACCAATGAACCAATACTTCTGCATGAGATCTAGTAAGCCAGATTCAATGTTAGGTCCTTATATTTCTTAGCAACACAAGGCCAGAGATATCCCTACTACAATTCCCAGGTCTACTCAATGGCTGTGCATATTTTTGCATCATTACCTTCTAAGGAATTCACCGTAATAGTAAATGAGTATGACTGTGGAATCTAGTTGAGACAGACTTGCATCTCTGTTGCAGTCTAGTGGGGGGTGCAGACACAGACTGCTGTGGGGAACTCTCGTTACTGGAATCTCAGAGAGCTACAGGATGCTGGGCTGGTGATCTAACATCCCAGTAAGTCCAAGAATCAAAAGTTGCAGTTTTGATTGGATTCTGTTTTTAAACCCAAACCAGCTAGTGATGCAACACCTAATCACACAGTAAATACATCGCTTACATGCTACAATGAATTCAGTACCAGCATAACTCATGTATTTTGATACTACTCAGTGACTGTACTGCACAATGAGGAGAAATATTGTGACAACTGTATCAAGAAGATTGTTGTCAAGAGATGATTTGCAACTGTTTTGAGAAAGTCTTTGCTGTTAAGAAGATAAACCTGAAGACTGGTGAAACCTAAAGACTTTTTTTTTCTGCAGAAATGTTATTGTAAAGCAGAGGTAAGGGCTATATAAAGTCTAAGCCCTTGCCTGATATATCAGGTAGGTCATCTGATAGGGGAGCTCCAGCCAAAAATATCCATAGAGCTGTCTCAACCGATCTCATTTCTTACGTCTGTGGTAAATATCGAGCCAAGTGCTATTACACAACTCCAGTGACTAAATGGAGGGAGAGGTTTTTTTTCTCCTGAAAAAGCCATTTTGATTTTCAAACTTCGCTATCTTGCTTTTCAAAGTGAATCTTGGTCACTGATTGCTCACTCCACACTTCTTCAACTAAACAAAATATAAAGTCCCTAAAACCTGTTTTTTATCCTTAAATCCATCGCAATGCAATAACCATCACTTTCTAAAAGGTCACACTATAAAAAGAGCAGCTGCCAAATACGAGGCCCCTCTAGTGTACAAAACCTTCCTTTCTGCAGATTTGGAGTGGCATTGGGATTAAAGCAAACATTTGTTTAATTAGTCACACACAACAGATAATCTGCAAGTTAACATTAGTAATAAAGAGTCAATTCTCACAAGAGAGCTGGATTACGAGTGAGAAGTACTTCAAGCCCTACATCACAAAGTCATTTAACAAAACAAACCTCACATAATCATGTCAGCCTTGTGGACGAGAACATCATTTTAAACTGTGCTTTAAATGCAAATTAAATTACCCTGTTGCTATGGAGAGCTTAAATTCATTTACGCAATTTAGGAGAGTCGTTTCGGTGAAGGCATTATCTCTGGACACTGTGTAAGTAACAGCGCGATGGTAGCCGGCCTAATCGCACAGCGACATCTTTACTGCCGACTGATAAAATGCGCGGCGCTTAACGCAGAATACCATGTATCCACTGAGAGAAGTGGGTCACTTACTTAATGTTTTCCAAGCGGCTGGAGTCTGGCTTTAAAGAGTTGGAATGCTTCACCATTTTGCACAGCGTGATCACCAGGAAAATAATATTGACCTGCAGTGGAAAGAAAAAAAAATTAACAAACATCTGAGATGATGCAGATATCTTAAAGAATTCTTTGAATTGGAAGTATAAGTCTAGGCATTAAAAAACAAAATAAAGCACAGCTCTGCGATACACATTTTTCAAAGTTTTACCCTTTTAAAGACCTTGCAAATACAGAAAAATACCTGTTGATATGTTAGAAATCCAATAAGCTTCTAACTTCCTATCTGAGCTGAAAACACAGAGCCCCTTGGCTGCATTAAAATCACAACCAGTGTTCTTCCCCTGCAAAACAATGCTGCTGCCATGGGAAAGGGCTCTTGAGATGTAGTTCTTGTGGTGTGCCCACATCAATAGGAACTGAGGTCCTAGAAGCTGCCCCAACAAGAATTTGCAAGCCTGGTGATAATGTCACAGAGAACAAAGTAAAAGAAAAAAAAATAATGCTGGGGCATGATCTAAAGGAGAGAGAAGTTGGGGGATAAATTCTGGACATACACTTTAAGGCAAACTATAGAGTTTTTACAGATATAGCTAGCTAGTTGATAGATGAATGAGGTCACCTTAAAGAGAAGCACAAGGCAAACAAAGTACGTGGCTTAATTACATATATGTTTATATTTTAGGTGCCAAAAATTTGTGCAATTTTGTGCAGTCAGTCTTGTGAGATACACACATTTTGCACAATGCAGAGCAGGAGAGGTGACACACAGTTCACAATTAAGACATTTGTCTGGGTCAGCGCTTTAGCTTTCTATGTCATGCCTCGTCATTGGGCAGTGGACCCGCATCATCCCCTCTGACAAGTGAGCCGACTCAAAAAGCAGTAATGCTAAGCCATATAGTAATTGCAGTAATGCTAAACCCGCATCATCCCCTCTGACAAGTGAGCCGACTCAAATCGCAGTAATGCTAAAATAAAATACACATTTTTCAAAGTTTTACCCTTTAAAGGGGTGTAAATTTAACTGTAGTAGCAGAGTGAACTTACCAAACAGCAGAGGGAAGAATAACAAAATCATTCTAAATTACATATTGACCCAACTGATCCCCACATAAAAATGACAAAAAAAATCCTTGTGTGGCATCTGCCATTGTACTGCACTTACAAATTGGCAGCCATGGAGCAGATGCCGAGAAGCAACACACCCATTTATTAACATTTTGCTACCTCTGGCTTAATTTGTTCAGCTCCCACCCTGAAAAGCAAACTTTGCCATTCCTCATGCGTGTTCAGCAATTCCGCTAAGTGGCAAGATCGCAACATGCGCCAGGCCTTTTTAACTTATTCTGACAACAAATGTCAGTAAATTGACTGTGTACTTCCATATTAATTAAATCTAGTTACAGTAGGGGTTGATGTTCTTATGCCATGCTGAATTTGCAAGTCAAACAAAAGAAAAACATGCAAGTCTGTTCTTCCAGGGAGAAAACCGGCTCTGTGATCAATATTTAAACAAAACTTTTAAAGCAAAAATGATTTTCTAAATAATGTATTGCTTTTGTCGAATTTTGCAGTGGAATTTTTTTTTACCTTGGTGATGGTATTTTTAAGCTTAAAAGAAAACTCTCTACAGTTAAGAAGTGAGGAAGGGTCAGGTGAGCAAGGCTTGGAGAACAACACTTGCTTTTTTTATGACCCTCTTCCACTGTTCTGAAGTCGCACTCCAAGCATTTTAGAGTTCATTTTCCTTCTGCTCCTTTACTCCAAGCTGACTCTTACAATTCTGAGAAACCCTCAACACCTAAATCAGTGGGAAGTAGAAGGTAAAGAAATCTAAAATTACTTGTAGGACAGAGAAACAAAGATGATGGAGAATTGTGCATCCAACTCCTGGTAATCTGTTGAGGACCTCCCATTACATGATAAAAAGGAAAACTATAAGGACCCATTTATACTATGCATTGCAGTAAAGCAACTAGCTTACAGAAATGCATCAGCATGTGTTTAGCCAGCCTAACTCAATGCAAACAAAACCAGAGATGTACCTTGCTTTTAAATGCAGCAAACTGCAGCATTCAGCATGTTTAATGTGTTGAGCCATCGGTACGCAGCTCACTACTGTACCACTGTGTTAAAATACCATTCAAAATGAATCGCACTGCAATGCACAGCAGTGTGTGAGCTACCATGTGTTGCAGAATAAAGGGCATTACTGTAACATACCGTTTTTAATAGGTCCTTAATGGGATCCATTGGAAGTAGTTGTGATGCTTGACATGGATCTGATAAGACAGTGGAAGAAAACACCATTCTAAAAGTAACCCAGCCCAGTATATATACACATACATACATACATATACACACACCTCTTTCTTTTAAGCCCTGACTGCGATAAAGAAAGAAAATATACATTTTCTTATATAAATATGGTGCGAAAAGAAAAGAGCAGCCAATCGGCTTTCATTCAACAGCTCTATACGGCTGAAAGTTGCACAGCCTCAACCATTAACTAAGCATTTTAATATACATGGCGTGTTTATTTTTACAGCTCTGAATATGATTCACATAAGTATTTTTTATTACTTGACAAGCCCTGCTCCTGGCTTGGGAGTAAGCACAGTAGTAAGTGCCAAAATGTCCCTCACTCATCTAAATGTGTGGGTGTTTGCAGACTAATAAAATATGGAAAAGTATGTTATGTTTTGTTCTTTCTTTCTTTCGTTTATGGGTCCTCTCAAGGCAATCATGGACACGTGAACGTTTATAAAACCTTTGCTGCCATTTTATTCACATGGAGCAGTTGCATATGCACATTGGGGGGAATTTATCAAAACTGGAGCAGCTGTGCATGGCAACCAATCAGCATTTCTCTTCATTTTGTTCAGGTAAGATTTGAAAATGAAAGAGAGGCGCTGATTGGTTGACATACTCAGCTGCTCCAGTTTTTATTTGCTCCTGTTTTGATAAATTCCCCTTATTGTGTTTCCTGCTTAGTAATGGACATCCATCAAAATGAGCAATTGTTGTTTGAAGCCTAAATGGTTAGTCTACCTCAAACTAAAATTTCAGCTATGGGTGTAAACTGGCAGTCTATGGCAGGCAGACGTCTCCCATACCTCTGGAAATTCCAGATTTAAGGCCTGCCAGCTTTGCCCCTTTAATGTTTCTTTTGCAGTAGGAGAAGTCTCACGTAATTTCTTTGTAACGTACAATAAATAAGCAATATTAAAATGTCCTGGTGATGGCACTCACTGTTGTCCGAAAAATAAATAAAACCTTTGAGTAAATCAACCTGGCCACCCAAAGTTGATATTAGTCCTGGATGGACTCAAATGTAAATTTGCTACTAACATGACTTCTCTATTTCAGTTTGCAGGCAGCTAAGGTTGTATATAGCTCCACATTCAAATGTATATTCTTTGTGCATTAGCAACAGTATCTATTTGTATAGAGGAGCTATCGGAATACTTAAAGTGACACTAAACTCGGGAGTTAATTTTAAAAAATGTATGGCACCTTAACTATTAACAGCATTGTATCTTATTTGTGTATCAATTGGCTGTAGACCCTCAAATCATCTCTGAATGCGGACACTGTCCTTCCTTCTGGAGGGTGGCTACTTTTGTTTACCATGATTCCTGTGTGTGTTGTAAAGTAGCCACCACTCCAAGATCACTTCTGTGATGGACTACAATCATAACTAAATCATGTTTAGTTAGCTAATTTGTGCTGAAATAGTTCATCAACAGAGCGAGCTTGGAGTGGTGGCTACTTTACAACACACACAGGGACTATGGGGAACAAAAGTAACCACCCTCCAGAAGAAAGGACAGTGTCAGCACCAATTCAGAGATGATTTGAGGATCTACAGACGAGTGATACACAAATAAGATACATTTTGGTCAATAGTCAAGGTACTTGAACGTATTTTTAAGAAGATTTAACTCCAGAGTTTAGTATCACTTTAAGCCAGTGGCGGGCAAATTCATATGGAAATCAGAAGCAAGAGTATTTTTTTTTAAGAGGTCAGTTACATTGACAAGAGAAAACCTTAAAAGTTAGGCATCAGCAGTAAGTAGTACAATACAAGTTTGCTGTGTGTTTTATAACCTGCTCAATTGAATCATGTCTGCCTGAGCCTTGCATTTAAAAATTAATTCCACGCAGCCTGCAGTGCTGACATGGATCTGATAAGACAGTGGAAGAAAACACCATTCTAAAAGTAACCCAGCTGAACTGCACATGTTCTGACCCGAATTGCCTTCCCTGGAGCTTTTGTTACCTGGTGAGAGTGTGGTCCTAAAGCGGCACTCGTGTCTGGGTATCTGTGCAGCTAGCCATGCAGAAGACCGCGTCGCACTGGGACTGCCAGGCGAAGAGGTGTTTCTCTAAAGAAGGTTTCTAAATGAGTGCGCGAGACTGAACTCTTTGTGAACTGGATTAATTATTAAACATGCAGATGGAGCTGTCCAAATGATAAGAACACATCCTGACGTGTCATGATCTAAGCTTTCATTAAACCATTTCAGGCATACTAATGGTATCCCAACGCTCATTACTTACATGCTCCCTTTTCATAGATATAATAACCCTACCACCATAGGAATGGCAGTCAGCGATCTCACAGTGGGAAGATAAGTGCTCTTCATCCAACACAATCCAAAATAATGCAGCAAAAAGCAAATCCTGGCTCTAAAAATGTAAAGCAAAACTGGAAGCTCTCCTGTGTCACATCTCCTTTTGTATGGTGCTACTTCCGTGGAAAGTATGCGCCAAGTCTCTTGTGCCACTTTAAGCAAACCTTTTACACACCACATCTCTGCCCACTATGCCCATTTTGATACCCTCCTGTACCACCTCTTATGCTCTTGTGTGTGTTCTTCCACTTTCCTGCACTCCTTTTCTACCAAGCTGTGCTACCACTACTGCTCTCCTAGTCCACCCTTCTCCTATCCTTTGCCCATTTTTCGACACTAACATGCCAACCTTGATGTCCTCCTGATCCACTCTGACCCATGCCCATTATTCCACCATCCTGTGCCACCTAACCTCCTCTTCTGTACAT